CCTGAGTTTGCGTCGACTATGCATATTCTATTGTTACCGGAGTCGACTATGGCCAAATCTCGGTCATCAAGGAACGATAAACCCTTTGGACTCTTTAACTGTCCATTTCCACTTCCTTCACTTCCATACGATAGTAACAAATCCCCATCCATGTTGAACACTCTGACACAACAGGCAGACCTGTCTGCTACAGCAATCTTAGTGTTGGATTTATTCACTGCAATACCTGAAACATTCCTAGTCCCAGTATTCAAGTTGTACTTCAGGTCAGAATATTCTTTCATCTCTTGAATGTGTTGTGGTTTGACCTCCATCACTAGTGGACTGTTGGATACTGGATTTCCATGTACTTGAACATCTGCTGTCAACTGACCAGGAAAACGAGGAGTAAAGGTTACTTCGATTTGCTCGTCACGAGTCACTCGTTTCTCTTCAATTTTAACGTCATTTTCAGGGGTGAAATGGATTGTAACGTCATCAGGTGACGAGTCACAGACTTCTCCATTATTGAGGACYACTTTCAGTGCCGCTGTCTTCATCGCCTCGAAGTGATGAGTTTCGACTTTCCATGAGCTTAGCTGTGGGTCTGCCTTTTTCAGTGTCTCACCTACTACTCCCAGGCCGGTATTCACTTCTTTACGAATCTTTAAGTTAGGTTTGAACTCCATCCCATCGATGTGTTTTTGAAAGGCGTYGAAGGTGAACGTTTTCATGCATTCTGCGCCTGAACGAATGTCAATGATTTCAACCATGTCGCTTGCTGTTTCATTTTGAATAAAGGACATGATGTACTCTTGTGCTCCTGAAGTGTGATGTATTATGCGTAAATTCCTGTCGGCCTTCCTTATGTTCCTTTGGATTGCTTTCAAAAGTTCTTGTTCTTGATCTAGAAGTTGGTTAACCAGTTCTCTRGTTAGTTCACTGACTTGTTCTTGAGCTTTTTGTCCGTCGCGTTTAATGTTGAGCGCAAGATGCTCTTGTTGTTTCTTTTCCTCTTCGTTACTATTAAGCCATTCGATTTTTTCAAGAAAATCAGCAATRAACTTTTTCAGGGATGTTTTCTTGTGGTTTTTGTGATAGTCGTCTTTCAAACAAAGCCTGCAGAGGAGCTCGTYGCAGTTTTGACAATGCAATGTAACAACTTGATTGGCGTGTGATTTGCAAGGACTTTCTTTTTTCAGCATGACCTGAACATCCTCCATCGTCATCTCATTCAACGCRAAAACGTTATGATTTTTGATGAATTCCGAGTGATTTTTCAGGCATTCGTCACAAAACGAGCGATCGCATTCGAGACAGTGCCACAGTGCTACACAATGGCTGTCAGAAACCGAGCAAACCTTCTGGTCCTCAACAAATGACAAGACTTGCAACATTCTTGAGTGTATAGGACTGATCTCTAAGTCTTCCGCGTCGTTGAGTTCTTTGAGCTCGGTTGATGAGTCACACTGAGGACACTTGAAGATGTTGACTTGATCATCAAGTTGTGCATTTGTCTTGATACAA